GCTTACCGGTACCATAAAGCAGGCAATTTCATCCTTCGAAAATGTTGCTCTAGAACTCTTTTAGCTTGAGCTAGTGCAATTTATATCATACTTGCTCGCGAAAGAATGATATATTTCGTTAAGGACAGCCCCTCACATAAATTGCTTTGAATGGGAAAATAAATCATTTGTCTTTGTGGATCTGACATTAATCCTCTCCTACCTACAAATTGGTGTACTTGAGATATTTCCTCGAGCTCTTGAAAAAGACATTATATGAATAAGATTAAAAGGGTCAGTCATCCTATAATTAGGATTCATTTCTTGTTGCAAGTATTCACTTGTAGCATATTGTATCTCAATGGACTGGAGTAATTTTTGTACTGCATGTATGTTTCCATAATGGTGTTTTTCTAAAATCAAACTTTGTTGTTTAGCATCTTGGACTAGTCATCCCTTAGAAGGTATTGTTAAAAGATCATCAATTCCTAATGAAATGGATGTAGCAGTGGCCTGCTGGAACCCCAGAGTCTTTATTTGATCCAGGATGTGTGATGTATATGCCATTCCGAAGTGATCGAGAAATCTGCTAATAAGTCGTTTAATGGCAATTTCATCTATCACTTTATTGTGAAAGATCAGATCAGCCCGTTCTGCCATAAGTACCTCCATATTACGGTGGGTGTGGTTGTGTAACAGGTCGTTTCTCACTCGGTTATCAGGTTTTGCAATCTTAGATAGTTGCATAGGAGAGAATTGAAAGGTCCCATCTACTAAAAGGGGAATTCTCTCCTCCTATTCCTTTCCTGAGATTCAGGTTTGATAATTAGGTTTCTCTTCGGAAAGGGAGATGTTACTAAGCTTTTGGGTAAGTTCGTTTCTTTTAGCAAGAGGAGATTCCTCACGTAACAAGGTAATAACCGATTTGCTGTTAGATTGGACCATTGTTCCTCCTTTTCTATATGTCCTATATGTAGGTGGGAAGTACACATCGAATTTTGCATTAAACCAATGTTTATCGAAGTTAAAGTGTACGCGAATGCTTGCTTCCTTACTTCAGTCTGATGATCCTTGATATGTTGCAGTAAATATTGTGTTTTGACGTATTGCTTTTCGTGCCTACTTTTGAATATATCTCTCTTGGTTTCTGGAAAAAAAAAAGAAGTCTTAAGAGGAGAATTGCCAACCTTATGGTATAAATGTTTTTATTTCTTTTAAACAATATTTTTAAAGAGACCATTGAGGGTTGGGCTAGAATTCATTATGTAATGATTTTCTTCAAAAAGTTAAACAGAACCAAAGAAAAAAATATCATTGAAAATAAATGGTTGTTTTCTTGTCTTTCACAGCAATTCCAACTGCTCAACCACGTGATAGAGCGATGCACATTCCAGCTTCACATGAGGAGGAAGATGATCACGGTGAGGTCTTTCTTGATGAATCTGACATAATCGAGGAAGTTGTGGTTGATGAGGAAGGTCTCTCTTTCCTCCTGTTGGTTTTGTGCGTGTATTTATGTGAAGTTTGCTTTACTAATTATTAGGTTTATTCTGTCAATTTAAGATCTTCCTGATGCTGCTGATGAAGAAGGCTCTGATGATGAATTTGTCGGTATGAGATGCTATTTTCAGTAATCTTGCTTGCTTAATGCTTGATGTTCGTGAAGAATATTTCTATTATATAGGACTTAGTTTTGATGGAATAAAAGTAATTATATTCCAATATATTCAAGTAAGAAATATATAGCCTTCAAGAAGAGAGGCTTAAAACATAAAAGGAAATAATGATAAATAACAATTAACATCTACTACTCATTTACAGCAAATATTCACAAATAGTAAACCAACACTCCCCCTCAAGCTGGTTTAAAGATATCTTCCATTGCCAGCTTGTCAATCATCCTGTCAAATTGCACTTTTGGTAGTCCCTTTGTTAACACATCAACAGTCTGCTCTATCGTTGGGAGATAAGGGATACATATCACACCGGTGTCAATTTTTCCTTTAGAAATGTTTGTCAATTTCAATATGCTTAGTTCTATCCTGGTGAACTAGATTGTGGTATAGAGATGGCAGCCTTGTTATCGCAATAAACTCGTATTGGTTTCACTTGTTATCGCAATAAACTCGTATTGGTGCCTTGTGAAAGACTTTCAATTCTTCAAGTAACCTTTTTATCCATATCCCTTCACAAATACCATAGGCTAAAGCTCTAAATTCTGCTTCAGCGCTGCTTCTGGCTACTATATTTTGTTTTTTACTTCGCCAAGTAACTAAGTTACCTCCAACAAATGAACAATAACCAGAAGTAGATCTTCTATCTATTGTACTTCCTGCCCAATCAACATCGGTATAAACTTCAACCTGCAAATGGTTGTGTTTTTTTGAACAATATACTTTTTCCTGGAGTTCCTTTCAGATAACTTAAAATTCTATAGGCAGCTTCAAAGTGAACTGTTCCTGGTGAGTGCATAAATTAGCTTACCATGCCCACACCAAAAGTAATATCTGGACGTGTGTGAGACAAGTAGATGAGTCTTCCCACAAGGCTTTGATATCGTTATTTATCCTTTACTTCTCTTCTTTTGCAGCTTCCAATTTCAGATTAGGTTCAATAGGAGTTTCAGCTACCTTGCATCCAAGCAAACCTGTTTCTCCAAGTAAATCAAAAATATTTTCTTTTATTAACAAAGATACCTTTCTTAGATCTCGCAAACTCCATTCCTAGGAAGTACTTTTACATTCCTAGGTCCTTAATTTGAAATTCACTTGCGAGTCTTTTCTTTAAAGTTGCCAGTTCTACTTCATCATCACTTGTAAGCACAATGTCATCTACATAGACAATCAAAATTGCAGCTTTATTGTTTTCAGAACGTTTATAAAAAATAGTATGATCAGCTTGACTCTGAAGAAACCCATAGCTCATGACTACTTTACCAAATCGTTCAAACCATGCCCTTGGAGATTGTTTGAGTCCATATAGAGATTTCTTTAACTGACATACTTTGTCATTTCCAAGACTAGCTTCAAAACCTGGCGGTAAACTCATAAATACTTCTTCTTTGAGATCTCCATTCAAAAAGCTATTTTTTACAGTTGGTGAAGGGGCCAATCTAAATTTGTAGCTAGGGATAAAAGTATTCTAATGGAGTTTATTTTAGGAACAAGAGCAAAAGTTTCTTGATAATCAATCCCATAGGTCTGAGTAAATCCCTTTGCAACTAGCCTAGCTTTGTATCTTTCAACACTACCATCAGCATTACACTTAATTGTAAAAACCCATTTGCACCCCACAGTTTTCTTATCTCTTGGCAAATCTACTATCTCCCATGTATAATTCTGTTTTAGAGGATTCATCTCCCCATGAGAGTTAGTTTCCAATTCAGATCATTGAAGGCTTCTTGTATGTTCCTTGGAATAAACAAGTTGGTTATCCTAGACGTAAAGGCTTTATGACTACTTGAAAGTTTTTCATAAGAGATATAGTTTGCAAGAGGATATTTGGTGCAAGTTCGAGTTCCTTTTCTTAAGGCTATAGGAACATCAAGATCAGAAACAACAGATGAGACATTTTCAATATTTGGAGTTATAAGGATGAAAGATTGATTACTTGGAGTTTTAGAATTATCCCTCGGAGTTTCGGATTGGGTTTGTGATGAGTCAGCTATCAGGTCCTCATTCGTTTGATTGAGTCTTCTTCTAGTATAAAACTTAAATTCAGGATTTGGACCAATGTGATCATTTCGTAGTAATTCTCCCTCTAAATGAGAATTTTCTACACTTGACATTGAAGGACTAGTAAAATCAGGACTAAGACTAGTAAAGTTGGGACTTATAAATTTAGGCAGAGGGACAGGTATATCCCAAAAATTATCATCCTCTAAATTTTGTTTTTCCCCTTGAAGATAATTTTGGGTAAACAAAGGTTGATTTTTTCCGAAAAGGACACATCTATACTCACATGAAGCTTTTTTGTTTGAGGATCAAAATATTTATACCCAGTTTTCTTAAAATCATAACCCAAGAAAATGCATTTAATAGCCCTATGATTTAATTTTGACCGAAAAGGACTACGAATATGCACATAAGTGGTACAACGAAAAACTTTGAGAGGTAAATCAGAGTTTAAACGAGTTGTTGGAAAATTTTCTTTCAAAACATCAAGAGGAGTTTTAAACTTCAAAACTTTAGTAAGCATCCGATTTATTAGGTAAGCAGCCATAAGGACTGCTTCCCCCTATAAGTACTTTCATGGAAAACATTATGGCCCGAGCAACCTCCAATAAATGCCTATTTTTCATTCAGCAATACCATTTTGTTGAGGAGTATCTCTACAAGTGGAGTGATGAACAATGCCTTTTTTTTTCAAAAACTCACCCAAATGTTCATTAAAATATTCAGTTCCATTGTCAGAATGCAAAATACTAATTTTAGTTTGAAATTGAGTTTCAATCATGTTGTAAAAACATTTGAAAATATCCTTCACATCAGATTTGTTTGTCAATAAATAAACCCAAGACAAGCGAGTATGAATATCAATAAAAGTTACAAACCAACGTCTACCACTATGAGTTAAAACTTTAAAAGGATCACAAACATCACTATGAATTAAATAGAATGGTTTGGAGGACTTGTAAGTTTTTGGCAAATATGTGGGTCGCCGATGCTTTGCAAAGATGCAATTTTCACAATGAAATTGAGAACAATCAACTCCTTTAAACAAATTTGGGAATATGTATTTGAGATAGAAGAAACTAGGATGTCCTAGCCTAAAATGCCAAAACATAATTTGTTCTTTAACAGAGAGAGAACTGTTATTAGTAAAGCACTGAGTTATTTTATTACTACCAGAAGCCTCATCAAAGTAGTAGAGGCCATCCAGCATCCTAGCACATCCAAATGTCTTCCTCGAAGATTGGTCTTGAAAAACACAGTGAGATGCATAAAAAGTAACGTCTTCCTCGAGGATTGGTCCTGAAAAACACAGCGAGATGCATAAAAAGTAACGTCTTCCTCGAGGATTGGTCCTGAAAAACACAGCGAGATGCATAAAAAGTAACGTCTTTCTCTAGGATTGGTCCTGAAAAACACAGTGAGATGCATAAAAAGTAACAAGACAGTTAGAATCTTTAGAGAGTTTACTCACTGATAGAAGATTGCATGCTAATTTAGGAACCTGAAGAACCGATTGAAGAGTGATATTTTCGGTTAATTTAATGGTTCCTTTTCCTGCAATAGAAGAGAAACTACCCTCGGCAATCCTAATTTTCTCATTGCAATATGTAGGAGAGTATGATTCAAATATTTTAGAGGAACTAGTCATATGGTCAGAAGCTCCGGAATCAATGATCTACAGAGACGAGCCAAAACAAGAAAGTGCTCTAGGGTAATTACCTGTTTGCGCCAAGGAAATACAAAGATTACCAAATGATGAATTGGTGTCTAGCCATTGTGATAGATGCTCTCTACTAAATTTTCTTGAGTCAACAATATCAATGCGAACTTGCTCCCGGTCACTCAGTTTCTTCAACCATGATGGAAAAAAAACGAAGTTAACTAAACAGATCAGACCACAAATTGAGATATTAGGATGAAAATAATCAGATAACCAAGATTTGAACCGAACCAAACCAAACGAGCCGAACCAAGCTGAACTGAATGGACTGAACCAACTGGGGGAACCAGTCCGAACCAACCCGATGAACCAGACCAAACCAGGTGTACCAACCCGAACCAAACCAAGTGCAAACCAATCGGACTGTACCAAGTGTGAACAGAACCAACTAGGGTTTTTAGAGTAGGCCCACGAAACGACCAACAGAACAGTGTTGATTTGTTCCTCGCGAGCTCTGGCGTGGTGCAAACCACAGTGGCACCAGCTGATTTCCGACGGCCGAATAGCGTTCGACTCTAAGACCTTCCTCCTCACGAACGCTGTTGACCTGCAGCAGTGGGTCTGATGTTCTATTTCGATGGCATGACTACCTACGAACAGCAGCGAACGACGGTGGAACGAAGAAGCAATGCTCGAACGATGTCAAACGGCGGCGGAATAGGTACGGACGGCGACGAGCAGAGGCGCGACAAAATAAACCCAGCAAGCAAACAACTTGAACCTGAAGGGATCGTCCAGAAGTAAGGTGCGCCGTTTGACGACAGCGGCTAGGGTTCCGACGATGAAGGGGGCGGCGGCAGCTGCTTAGAGGCTAGGGTTTCTAAATATCTTTAGAATATTAGGGTTTATTTTTGGCTCTGATACCAACTTAGTTTCGATGGAATAAAAATAATTGTATTCCAATATATTCAAGTAAGAAATACATAGCCTTCTTGTATAGAAGAGATGCTTAAAACATAAAAGAAAATAATGATAAATAACAATTAACATTTACAACTAATTTACAGCAAATATTCACACATAGTAAACCAACAATAGGTTTATAACTTTCTATGTTATGTTTGAAGATAATTTAGAAATTTATCGGAGTATTATGCTTTGAACTCCAAAGCTGAAAGCTCCCTTTATAACTAAGATTTGGAAGTTTAACTGTCCAAAAAAGGTGAAAATCTTCCTATGGACTGTGGCATATAGGAGTATCAACACTCAAGATAAGCTTCAGAAAAAATTACAGAATTGGATGATTTCTCCTTCAGGGTGCTCTCTCTGTCTTAGGGATGGGGAGAATCAATTGACCATCTTTTTCTTCATTGCTCCTCTGTAGCCACAGGTCGTTTTTATGATGAAATGTGGCTTGGTTGGTTGTTTGCCTCGTTTAATAGATGATTGGCTGTCAGAAATTATCCAAGGTGGTTCTTTGAAAGGACGAGCAAAATTTCTGTGGAGTTGTGCTAGTCGAGTGCTAATATGGAGTATTTGGAAGAAAAGGAATCAAAGAGTTTTCAACAACAAGTCCATCCCTTTTGATAATTTTTGTGAAACTGTACAAATTACAACGGCCTCTTGGTGCCTTACTAATAGGAGATTCTTTTGTAATTACAATATAGCCTTACTCTCTCGTGATTGGAAAGCTGTAATGTATTA